TCGCTGAGACATTGGGAGTTCCCTTCCCAGGCCTGAAGAAGAGCTCTGTGTGGCTCATAAGCTTGTCTCTCTCACCAACAGAAGTTAGTCCAGTAAAAGATATTACCCTCACCCACCTTGTCTCTCTACGTTTATAATTGGCAGAATGAGGTTAATTTATAGAGCTGCCTTGGTTGTTTCAACATCTATGCATAATTGCCACACGATGTATTCCATCAGTACCAGGTACAGCAAGGGACAATGACTTGGCAAGCTTCTCCCACATTGTCTCACAATGCACCACAACTAAACTTTAAAAAAGGGACTATCTCTAAAGACTGGGCAGTTGTGGGTGTGAAAAGCAAAAGACACAATTGTAGTCTAGTCTCCTTCTCTCTGTTCATTCTATCCTTGGCTTCTTTATCTGAAAGGCTAGCAAGGCTGCCAGTTGTGACGTTGGTTTTCATGAAGATGACACTTCTCCACCAGGCATTGGGCTTGTGCAGAATGAATTGAGCTCCACTCAATCAACCTTCGTCAGATATAACAATTTCCAGGGTGGAAACCTCAATCCCCAAACTCAACAGGAGTTTTGCCACTGACTTCAATTTAACCAGCTCAGTATTTACCAGAGCTGGATTTGAATCAATGACTGAGATCAAGGGTTCTTCCACAACTGATCTCTCATCCTCTAGGTTTAAAAGTTAACAGGGTCTAAATTAAACCTCACTGAATAACGTAAAAAAGGGAAAACTGTCCCTAATCAACCAACCAGTCACCAGCACTTCCCAGAGTGAATGCAAAGCATAGGGACAGCTGGAGATACAGATGTGGTTTTGCACTAATACGTAACATGACTTGTCACCTTGTTACTGGAATACTCAAGGTGGGCACTAGACAAATATTGCACTACACTGCCTTCTAAAAAATCTGGATTAGTCAGACAGGTGCTCTCTACAAAACCCATCTCCATAGCTGCTCCCTTAAAGATATGGACATCTGATGCTCTTAGAACTGAGAGAACAAGTATAATAGTCTCTAGCAAAAAATAAGAACAGAGTTAACATTTTCAAAAATGCCTAAGTGACTTAGGAGCCTACATTACTGAAAGTCAGCAGGACTTGGGCATGTTGGAAATGTTAAAAAGCCAAGTGAGTTCTCAGGTCAGCACTGAAAACAGTCTAAAATCTCTGTGACATCTTAACAAGAGAGACACCAAGAGCTCGAACTGCAAGGCCAACAGTGTGGCAGCCAGTTCAAACATCAAGCTGAACACTGGGAATGTAAAGAGATAACAGGAGGATGCTCCACATTGCCCAAGGGTCAGAGCAATTTATGGGATATTCAATCCAAGGAGCAAGACAGGCCTGTGCCTCACTGTCAAGATCTGATCATGCAAGATGCTGAGTGTACTTAACTCTCACTGATCTCTGTAGGAGTTGAGCTCTCTAAGTACCCTGGAGGAGGCACTCAGCGCTTTGCAGGATCAGGCCACTGAATTAAAGAAAGAACTATAATTCCTATTGGACATTTGAAGAACACTAGTTTGTTCTTTCTCTTGTATCATCTGCTTTGGTTTATGAAGAAGGCTAGACTCTCTTTATTCCCATCCTCTCATTTCATGGAATACTGAGCACTTCCTTTAAAAACATGCTATATGGACAAACTGCAAGACAAGTCAACTGTTCCAGAAGGTACGCTTTACACTGAAACAAGCACAGTCCAACAAGGCTTACACTTGCTTTATGTACTACAGCATCACAAGCAACAAGTGCCAGGAAAATGGCTTATTTCTTAGCCTTTGTGTTCTATTTATTGTTCACAATAGATAATGCAAAAGATTTGCTTTAATAACTAAAAATTCTTCAGGGTTCTCAAGGACTTTCATCCACTTTGGTGACCTCAAATAATTAAATGCTTGGAATGCTCACTGAACTCTTTTTATACTCAGTTTACAGGGGTGCAGTGTAGTGAGAAACACAAAGGTGAGTGCTGTGTTTTGCAAAGGTGCTGACCAATGCAGCACACACTGCAATCAATGGCTGAGATCATATCATGAATGACTTGTTCAAGGCTACACAGTGAGTCAGTGGCAAAGTGGAAATAAAACCAGCCTCCTGCTCTACCCTTTAAAAATACTTCCCACCCTCCAAGCGAAGTTCTGAATAATAAACATCCATAGCACATGGAGTAACAATGAAACATTCAAGAACTCAGGATATACTTAAGCACATGCATAAATCCATCTCAAGAATGTGCTTAAATTTAATCTTGAATAAGGATGTGTTCCTGAATTGAGGCTAAGAAACAGATCCAGCCTCATTAAATTAACAGGCGAGTGATGTCCTGAATTTCCCTACCATGCACAGTTGACACTTGGAATAAATAATAATGCTGAGATTTTTTTTCTGAAAGTTGATTTTTTTCTATAATGAAATAACTCATCTCTAACTTGCTAGTATTAAAAACTCTTTTTACAGCTGCTAATGACTTAATTTATTATTGCAGATCCAAGGAGGCAGATGTTAGCTGTAAAATACACATTAATCTACTATTCAAGGGCTTGCTTCAAAAATATAAAAGGAAGGAGATACAGGCCACAGAGCTTTTGTAGATTGCAGCTTCTGTTATTCTCATTGGGAGATGCACATCAGGAAGTGATTACACTCAGTGCAGACTATACTGTATACCTGTCATGTAAATATATTTTTGTTAGCAAAAAATCCAGCTAGGAATTTGGAGAACTGAACTTTACTGTTCTTTCTGCAAATTTTGTTATGAAATTATATCCATGAAACAAATCGGTTGGGAAAAATCAGTAACATGACTGGGCTTTTTCTGCGTGATGTAGTAAAGATCTGCCATATGGCGGTGCAGGCAGGGGAAAGGAACATGTTCTTTCAGCAAAAATAATTTGCTTGATTACTGATATCCAGGAAGTAATGTAGATACTTAGTGATACTTCCAGAGATAATGAGATCTTCCAGATTAATTCCCTCAATGCACCAGCAGAACTCTCTCCTAATTCCATTTCCTTCACTAAAATATGTCATGTTATCATTTATTTTGCCTTCTCCTGCATACAATGCAAAAGAGCACATATGCCAAAAAAAGGAGTGCTTGGGAAAAAATTAAAATAGTAATTTAATAAAAGGTGAAGCCAAGCAGCTTCCCCTCATCCCAAGTCACACAACAACCAACCACAATCAGACCAAGCTGATAGCCCTCTCCCATTCAAACAGCCAACACAAAACCAGGAGAAATTTGGCAGTTCCTTGTTAGTGTTGCTTTGAGATTTGGGGTTTGAACAACCCACAAAACTAGGGTTGCCAACTTTCTACTGGCAGAAAACCAAACATCCTTGCCCCCCCCCCCGTCCTGCCCCTTCTCTGAGGCCCCACCCCTGCCCCACCCCTTCTCTGAGTCCCCGGTCCCACTCACTCCATCCCCCCTCCCTCTGTCACTCGCTCTCCCCACCCTCACTCACTTGTTCATTTTCACCAGGCTGGGGCAGGGGGTTGGGGTGTGGGAGCAGGTGAGAGCTCTGGCTGGGGATGCCAGGGTGGGGCTCCAGGGTGGGGCCAGAAATGAGGAGTTCAGGAAGCAGGAGGGGGCTCCGGGCTAATGCAGTGGGTTGGGATGCGGGAGAGGGTGAGGGGTCTGGAGTGGGGCCAGGGATAAGGGTTTGGGGTACAGGAGTGGGCTCCAGGCTGGGGTGTTTGGAGTGCAAGAGGGGGCTCCGGGCAAGGGCAGGGTGTGGGGAGCGGGGGTGGGGGGGCGAGGGCTCTGCTGGAGGTGCAGATTCTGGGGTGGGGCTGGGGATGAAGGGTTTGGGGTGTAGGAGGTGGCTCTGGGCTGGGACCAAGGGGGTCCAGAGGATGGTAGGGGGATCAGGGCTGGAGCAAGGAGTTGCGGCACTGGGGGCGTGAGGGCTCCGACTCGAGATGTGGGCTCTGGGATGGGGGTGGGGATGAGGGGTTTGGGGTGTAGGAAGAGGCTCTGGGCTGGGACTTAGGGGTTCAGAGGGCGGGAGGGGGATCAGGGCTGGGGCAGGGGGTTGGGGCATGGGAGGGGTGCAGGCTCTGGGTGGCGCTCACTTCAAGTAGCTCCCGGAAGCAGCTGCATGTCCACCCTCTGGCTCCTATGCGGAGGCATGACCATGTGGAGCTGCACGCTGCCCTGTCTGCAGGTGCCACCCATGCAGCTCCCATTGGCCGTGGTTCCCAGCCAATGGGAGCTGCAGAGCCAGCGCTTGGGGTGGGGTAGCACGCGGAGCCCTCTGGCTGCCCCTACGTGTAGGAGCCAGAGGGGGGACATGCCACTGCTTCCAGGAGCCATGTGGAGCCAAGGCAGTTAGGGAGCCTGCCTTAGCCCCGCTGTGCTGTTGACCAGACTTTTAACGGCTCGGTCAGCACTGCCAGGGTCCCTTTTTGACTGGGCATTCCTGTTGAAAACCGGACAACTGGCAACCCTACCCAAAACTCAGACAGGGGCTAAATCTAAACCAACATATATATATACACACACATCTATATATTTGCAAGAGCCCGTGTGAAAGAAAAATGCAAAAATACATTCAGCATTACTCCCACCCCACAATAAAATTGTCCAGGCAAAGACCAGAACCAAATCTGTCATTCACAACCCTGTAGAAGCATTTGAGTATAGACTGCAAAAGTTTGTTATGGGAGCCAACATTGATTTGATTATTTAATATTTTGTAATTGTCCTTCTAGCTTATGTATGTAAAAGCTACTTGACTTTTTAAATCAGCCCTTAGATGACATAATGAAATGACTGGTTCCATTAAAGCCTTGTTGCAGAACTAATGAACCTCAACTTTCATAATAGTTTTCAAAAACCTGGCCAGGGCCAGTTTGGATGCAGCTGGTCTGCATCACTTCCCTTGTCTCATGAAGTCATTAGATGGAGGCTTAAGCATATTAACTTTGTTTTTTTTAAAAGAGGAGATAAGAGACGCAAGGACTGTTTTTCTTCAGCTAGCAAAAGAGCCAACATACCCGAGCACCTTTCTCTGGAAAACATTTGCAGCCCGCGCTGCAATCTCGACCCCCACATGGTCCGTTATAGGATTTCTTCCCACCCTGTAAAAGAAAAAGAGGAAAAATTGAGTAACCAGACCCTTCTCGGCATCTGAGATCCTTCGCAGTCAAAATGCTGTAATTAAGAGCTGGTTCATTTCATTTCATTTCATTTCGATGATCTACATTAGTCATGCGGATTTGTTTGACATTAACTAGACAGGCTAACTAACTTTTACCTTTTAAGCAACTGGCTCATTTTCAGAAACTCTGATCATCTCAACAGGAGAAAATGTCTTTAAAACTGTTAGAGGAAAGACAGATTTATAAGCTGGGCCTGATCATGCAAGGTGTTGAGTGCTCTCTAGGCCTTTCGAGTGTCACTGGCGTTGAGGCTGCCTTGGGATAATAAACACCCTACTAGTTTAGGATCACTCTTTGGAACTAGAGCTGTAGCTGATCCAACCTCCCATATCCAAATCCCACAGACCTGGAGACAGTTTTGACCAGACATCCCCAGATTTTTCCTCTTGCACACCCCCTTGCCAGTAGCAGAATGTGGCCGTGCTCCCCTGGCCTGGGAGTGGAGTTGTGGCTGGGCTGGGGGCTGGAGCCAGCAGCCAAGAGTGAGGGCCAGGAGCCAAGAGCAGGGGCTTGGGGCAGGAGCACAGCTGTGGCCAGGGGCAGAACAGGACTGGGGACAGAGTGGGGCCAGGGGCGCTCCCTCCCAGCCCCCTCATGGGGGCTGGGACAGGGCCCACCATGCCCCCCAGACATTCCTTTGCACCCTCTTAGGGGGGCACACCCCACAGTTTGGGGATCTCTGGTTTAGACCCAGATCTGACCTTTGTGGCTTATGCCCATCTCTATTTGTAACTAGTCTCAGTCTATGAGCTAAGCACATTTTTAATAGCAGGGGGGAAAAAAAACCTTAGTACAGAACAGACATAATAGTGTAAGGAGGAGAGTAAGAAATGTAACAGTTTGAATGTACTTGAAAACCTGGGTCAGCAAATGGCATAGTACATGAACTGGATTTAGAGACAGAGCTGACTGAATACCAGCTCCAATCAAAGAGCAGATCTCCCTCTGATTACGTAACTTGGAATTTTCTTGTTACATTTCCAAATAGCTATATATCACTGTAAAATTTCATCTATTATGTTTGTAGCAATGGAGAAATGCAGTTTTCAAAGAATAAGTTACACAACAGTTAAATATGCCATTTGCCCTTCTAGTGACTAGTCCACACAGGATAAAAAGCCTGCTATAGATTCTTGCTCCTGATACTCCTTTAGCTCGAGTGATAGAGGTCCATTCTTAAACCCTTCTTAAAGTCCCTAATCTTACAACATGCACATCACAATCTCGAGTGTATAAGTAAAGATTTGCAGAATGTGTCCCTAAGAACAAAGAACGGACAACTGGGTGGCTCGTGTCAATGCAGGGCAGAGATAAGACTATATGGGTGCCCTAAGTATGCATTTCCAAACCATAATGTGTTTGGATTGTTTATTTTGGGGATAACTACAACATTCTTGTAATTTTTTTTTTATCCCAGGCTCTTGATGTGAACTTTCCTACTTTAATGTAGTGTTTTGTTTTTGTTTGTGTTTTTGGGGTGTGCCCACTGTCTGAGAATTAACTAAATTAGTTTAGTGAGACTCAACAACCCTTTTCCCTCTGAAGGTTCTCCGTCCATCTCAGGGTTGAAGCACATTGCTGGATCGTTGCAGGAGAGGCTTGCAACGCCACTGATAATGCTGTCCCAGTAATAGGACGAAAACGAGCACTTCATGGCTCTCAATCTAGTACCTTCAGGAGCACTATATTCATTCCATTCACAAAGAAAAGGTTTTTTTTCCCCCAATTTAAAAATCAAAACAAAACCTCCTTTCTCTGATGGATGTGCTCAAGTGAATGATGCAAAGGGCAGTCTCCAGGTTTTGAAGTGCTGAATGAAATAACAGCTTCATCCCCAGATGACCAAGATATGTACGAGACAAGCCCAGGCTAGAGTCAAACATTTCCCCACTAAATGCATTCTTGGAAAATATTTCTGAAGCCTTCAAACTTTCCTAACATCTGGAGCATAAGGAAGGAGAAGAGAAAAGGTCACACAAGTAAGCTTCTCACTGCATCTTAAAGAATCCTCATTACAAAGGCTTTCTCAAAGCAAAATGTTGCCAGAGAGGGCAACAGTATCAAGTCCAATACGAGGGTGATGTAATGCATTTTTCACTGAAGACTATTTTAAAATAATAAAACTGTATTCATTTGTTAAAATGTTGATGATCACATAGTTACTTGAGCAAGCTACTTCTTATACAGGATGGAGTGAGCCTATATTACCAAAGAGCTTTAATAGCCAGTTACATGTTTTCTTGCCTTGGAGGTATGTTGCCTTGTACTGCAAATCAGTCATGACTGGGTCCATGCAATTGTAGGTGGCACCAATTCTAAGTGGCTGTCCTGTTTTAGGGCCAGTTCCTGCAAAGTTCTTGCACTGCCCACTGATGTCCTAAATGTAGTAGGACATAAGGCCTCTAGGATCCTAGCAGCAGAAAGAAAGAAAGATGACAAGCCATAAGATAGCCAGCACAGGAGGAATCCTGATCGAGTCAGGAGACTGGGGCCGGGAAACAAAGGTCAGTTTACAACAGCCAGGAAAATGCAGAAAAAGAGAGAATCTCTTTGCAAGTCAACGGGATGCACTCCCATTAGGCAGCAACAGCCTTGTGCACCCATCTGCATGCTGCAAGGACATAGAGGAACCAGATATATCCAGGTTTTCATCCATTTCAGCCTTAGTTTTTGTGATTGTTTAGCTTCTGTTCCACCCTTTGCACGTCTAGTCCTTACCCCAGTAGCCCTGTGAGCAAGCATGCACTTCCTGAGGTCCCATCTACTTAACGTTTTAGTTTTTCTCCCAAGTGTAAGTTATGCAAGAGAAGTCTTTTTTCATCATAGGCGGCATGGTCTCTTATCTAGTCCAAACTGCAGGTGATTAGACTAGACAGGCCAATTATTCTTTCCTAATTTTGTGTGTTTTTCCAAGTAACTTTATTTAGCATATGAACCTGCATAAGGCCCTAATCCAACTCCCAATGAAGTCAATAGAAATCTTTCCACTGACTTCAGTGTGAGCTGGATCAAGCTGTAATTGAGGTGTATTGAATACAAATATTAACCAGAAAAATTGGTCTGTGTTTCATGTAAAATGGCATGTTTGTACTGTATTTCTAAGTTTCCTATCCTGGCAGGAGGGGTCGTTCTACACACTTGCGAATGAAAGAATCTGAGAAGGGAAAGAAAGCAAACCAAAACTAGTTGGCTATGGACCAGGTGTTACATGTCACAAGTACTTTATTTAGGAGAAGTAGCTGACATCAGACACTCCCAGGCTGCTTAAATAGCAAATGGCCATGCACATAATATTTATGTGTATAACTTTAAAGGTCTGTATTTAACTTTTTAGAATGCATCCATCACTTCTGAAACAAATCACTCATCCATTTTTCACTAAAAAGGGGGGGAGGAACCCCTAATGTACAAATGTAAGGCTCATTTAAATATTTATAGATGGCAGTTTGAATATGTAAGCATGGGCACTCCAGGCTCCGCATGTGTGTCTGTATGTGTTTATATTCAGGGAAAAGATCTTTCCAACTGTTCTGCAATATTAAATTTCAGAGTCTGAAACTGACAAGGACTACTATGAGGGAAACAATACAAGGGCTAAAGAAAGAAGGGTCCTGAATATAGTGGGAAGTACTGTAGATTATAATAATATTGAGTTAAGCTATTTGAATATCAATTATCAGAAGCAGTTAGTTTTTTTAAAAATAGTGTAAATGTTTATTTTTCCATAAAGAATAAAACACATAAAAATTAAAAATGGGCCAGATTCAGACTTCATTTATACTATACCCATTTAAATCTGCAGTAACTCTTTTATTGATTCCAGCTGAGTTACTCTAGATTTGCACCAGTGTAGCTGAGATCACAATCTGGCCCATAATATAGAGAGAACATGTCGTTTATTTAGGATATGTCTATGAAAGTGAATAATTATTTTAAAAGCCATTCAAAAAACAAATGCTTCTGTAAAAACATAACATTCCTCCTGTTTTTGGTATATATCCATCAAGCGTGTATGTATAATTGATTTAGTCATAAAGAATCTGATCCAAATGGAAATCTTTCCATTGACTTCCATGTGCTCTGGAGCAGGTCCAAAGAAAATAAAGGAATATAACAGCTGGGATGCCACAAAATATGCCATAGGACACAGTTCTTGTGCAGCCTCACCAAGGGATTGTAAAAAAAAAAAATACACAATTATTACATCACCTGCAAAACCAAAAAAAAAAAAAAAAAAAATTATAGCTACAACATGGAGGGAAAAACCCAGCAAATTCAAGAAGTCATTTCCCCATAGAACGTGGGTTCTCAGCATGGGGTGTGCGTCAAAGACAGGTTTCAGGGAGTTGCAACCACTTTCCTTTTCTTTATGGGAGGGCTGTCCCATGTTTTTTCAGTTGTAACATAGCATCATGGTATGGGAAAGGCTGAGAACCACTGACAAAGGATCAAGACTTCTATCAACCAAGAAAAAGGACACTACACCTCAACTGAGGCCAAATGTCTGCAGAGAATACAGATGAAGAACCAGCAGTGGAAGAGGCTAAACCAATGCAAGGCCTACTATAAACACCAGTCTATTAGAGAATCAGTGGTGGTAATGGACTGTAAATTGGTAGCCTTCTACCAAATTGGAAATGTGGGGAAGCAAAATGGGAGGGTGTGAGGTGCTACAAGACTAGAACACCTCTGTTCATAACAGGACATGAATCTCTGGTAAGAAAAAAAACCTAGAGGATGGAGAGAACTTAAGCCCTGGTCTACACTGCGGGGGGAATATCAATCTAAGTTATGCAACTTCAGCTACGTGAATAATGTAGCTGAAGTCAATGTATTTAGATTGACTTACTGTGGTGTCTCCACCATGGTGAGTCGATAGCTGCCGCTCCCCTGTCGACTCTGCCTGTGCCTCTCACGGC